GGGGGGAGTGGGGGAACACTCATGGAAGTTGTTGTGACTGGTTGTTTTGGTTTTTTTTTTCCTTTCTGAAATGCTAATTTTTCAGGTTGATGGCATTCAGGGAATATTCTTAAATTTTCACTGTGAGACATCTAACACTGAAAATTCTTGGTATCTATGTCCCTGCTCTTATCCTCTGTGAAAAATGTAGGAGATAACTGATTTGATGACTTTGTCCTAGGCTTCTGTAGCATTTGGGGGCACTTCAGTCATTTTTAGGCCCTGCTGGGGCTTGACCTGACTATCAACAAGCCAGAGAGTCCAGTAGGGGCAGTTTGTCATCTTCCTGTCCTCACTTTCAGAGGAGGGACTAGATAAAACCTCCAGCTGGATTTAATTTGCTTTGCTAATAGAATTTCAGGATATGTTGGATTGTCACTACAGCAAAATACTATACTATAAAGAGAAACAAGAGAAAAAAAAGATGAAGAAATGGGAGCATAACCATTTCTGCTTTGTCCTCCTGGGTTGTGTTTCTTGGGAGAAATAATTTGGTGCCTGTCCTTGCTTTCAGGATGAGCGTGCAAACCATCAGGAATGTTTTCAGTGTGGAAACTGGATACCGCCTCTCTGATGACCAGATTGTCAATCACTTCCCAAACCACTATGAGCTGACCAGGAAAGATCTGATGGTAAAGAATATCAAGAGATACAGGAAAGAACTTGAGAAAGAAGGAAGTCCTCTTGCAGAAAAAGATGAAAATGGGAAATACATTTATTTGGGTGCGTTGTTCTCGCTGTCAGAGTTCGTCTTTTTTCTTACATAGTCAATAACCTCGAATCGATCCAGCTTTTCTGAACCTCTGAAGTATTAGAACATTAAAGTGACTGTCTTGAAATGCTCTGTTCCTGTCAGTGAAAAAAAAAAGTGCACTTTGTCCTAAAATTGTTTGTTGCAAACCCAACACCCTTCCCTCTCCATCATCCCCTTTTCCCTCCCCTCAAATCTGGAGCATAAGGAAACACAGGAATAGGGAAAATGGTTAAAACAGTAGCAGCAAATGTTTCCTAGGAAATACTATATTTTCAAAGCTTTTCACAAACCTTGCTTTGAAGGATAATATTTTACAAATTGAGAGGAATAAAGAGAACTTGTTGAAGTAGAGACAAAGCAGGAATAAAAGATTGAACATTTCCTTGTTTCCCTGTTGTATTCCCACAGCACTAAGCCACAGTTCCTCCACAGTGTTACTACTCAAGGAGGAGCACAAATTCAGTTTGGATGCATGGAATTTAGTTTTGTTTTAATTTTTAGGCTCAGTTTTGTAAGTAATAAGGTCCTTAAAAACACTGAACTTAATAGTGCAGCATTATCTGAAGCAACATTGGGTGAAGTGATAGTGGAATTATTATTTTTAAATGTGAGGGTGCAGAACTAGATTTGTGAGTAGGATTTTTGTGGGGATGTGTGGGAGTCTAGAGGATGGGTTGGTTGGTTGGATTTTTGTTGGGTTTGATTCATTTTGGGGTTTTTAAAATTATTTTGAGGAGGGAAAATTGCAGGATTGAGGTACTTTGCAGTAAAATTAGTGGTGGAACCAAAGGGCCCTGGTACTTCATATGATATAGGGTTGCAGTTTCTTTAATTCAAAAGTGAGAAACCATTATCTGAAAATCTTATACTGGAGCAAAAACTAAAATAAACTTTTGCAGAAAGGCTCTGTACAGAACTGAATGAACAAACACTTCAGAGGAGAAATTTGGGAGAAGTTTGAGAACAAAGAAAAAACCCAACAAAATAAAAAGAAAACCAGACTAAAAAAAAAAAACACCAAACCAAAAAACAACCAAGAACCCCCAAACTAAACCAAGAATAAATCAGGAATGAGGAGAGTTGGTTTGGGGGTCAGAAAGCATCAAAGTGAAGCAGATGGGAATGTGTGGAGTTGATTTACATCTTGGGAAAGTGAAATGAAAACTCTTCATATCCATGTAAGAAAGAAGCAGTTCTTTATAGATGGAAGTGAAGATAATCTGATAGCAAAAAGGGAAAAGTGCTTTTCTTTAGATTTCAGTAATCATGGTAAAACTTATTATGGGAGAAAATAAGAATAACTCATGGGGGTTACGTGGAAATAAAAATCCACATCCAAAGAGGAGGCAACATCAACATTCACGTTTTTACCTGCACAGGGGATGATAAGTTGGTCAATAAAATGGTGAAATTTTGATTAAAGTTGAAATGATATCTAGTACTCTAATTTCACAGCATATAAACAGAAGAAGAAAAGTGATTCATGTGAATTAGAATCTGTTAATGTGAAGGTGGCATCATGTAATATTTTGCAATTGTTTAAGTAAAAACTAGAATTTAAATGGGATAAAAAGCAACGTGAGTCTTAATGAAGGTGGGTCATGCCAGATTGGAAAATTTAAAAGACAGAACCTTTTTTTCCCCATCTTTATGTGTCAATAACCTTATCAGATATACTGTCCTTAATTATGCACCTTTCTCTTTTCCCTCCTTAACTCAGATTTTGTTCCTGTGACTTTTATGCTTCCTGCCGATTATAATCTCTTTGTTGAAGAATTCAGGAAGAATCCCTCCAGCACTTGGATTATGAAACCTTGTGGCAAAGCCCAAGGGAAAGGGATATTTCTAATCAATAAGCTCTCCCAGATTAAAAAATGGTCTCGAGACAGCAAAACATCTTCGTAAGTTCTTAAAACCTTAAAGCCTTTATTGTAGTTTCTGTAATCAGGTGAACCACATCAGCACTCTGACTGTCTGATGCATGGGAAAAGTATTCCATGATTGTTGTTGCTTTGTCATTATAGACTTAGGTTTGCATTTAATCTCAGTTGTTATCTGGCTTCCTCCTTCAACAGGACTTGTTTTGGCATGAGGAGGTATAAGTAACTATTCTTTATAAAAATGCTCTCAGTGTTGGGGGTGGGGGGCAAAACTGCACAGAAATAAATTGTTCTGCTTCATAGTATTAAATAACAGGAAGGAAGAGAAAAATCTTCCCCTCAGCAATTTCAGTAATAATTTCATACGTATTAAATCACTTTCTAAGTTAGTACGAAGGAAGAATGGATTTATATGAAATAAATGCGTTGTCCTTTTGAAACAGAAAATAACACACCTCATGTTGCTGAAACAGTTTAGCAATCTATGCTTTTCTCTACTAGGAGAAGCTTTGATCACACAACTAATGTTAAGTTTTGTTCCTGTGATCAAGTGACTGGCTGAGTATCACTTGAGTATTTGTTTCCCTGTTGGACTTGGAATCTGAGGAATGTCACAGTCTGAAAGTTACCTGAACTTTTCACAGTGGTTTGCAGTTGCACACCAAGCATAAATGCAAATATTCTGGTGGTGTAAGACCTTGAATAAGGAAGGTAATGTACTGTGTGCCCTTTGCTTGTCTGAACCATGCCAAGCTCTAAATCCTCTCTGAGGAAAAAAATGGCTTGTAGAGCTGCATTTGGGATGGCTTGGTCAGCTACAGTGTTAACTTCAAAACTAGGTTTAAATGGTTAATTCATATGGGTCAATTTTATTTTTATATATATATACACACACCAACTTTTTGAGATATATATATATATACACACACACACATTAACTTTTATACATATATATATCTACACCAACATTTTTGGTGTTTAATGCCTGATGCCAAGTGGGTATTATCAACCACCACAATTTTATACATTGTCTTGGCAAAAGATGCAAGATTTCAGTCGATTCAAAAATTTACAGAATACTTCTAAAGAAGAAAAAAAAGACTTACTGGATTGTATTGCACACATGACTTGTGTTTTTCAGGTTTGTGTCCCAGTCTTCCAAAGAAGCCTATGTGATTTCACTCTACATCAACAATCCCTTGCTTATTGGGGGGAAAAAATTTGACCTCCGTCTGTATGTTTTAGTATCTACCTACCGTCCACTGCGGTGTTACATGTAAGTTTGTATACATTTGTATTTTGTTTTGAGACAGTGTCAGAAGCAGTCCAAATAATGTTGGACTTGTTGCTGAAAGAAGTTTTAACACGGACTTGGTAGTTGTTGGCCTTTAACACATTTTAATGACTTTTTTCAAGGTATAAACTGGGATTTTGCCGGTTTTGCACAGTAAAATACACCCCAAGCACCAGTGAATTGGACAACATGTTTGTACATCTCACAAATGTTGCCATTCAGAAACATGGGGTAAGTGTTCTTAAGTGCTCTCTTGTAGCAAGACTGATCTTCTTAAATTGTCCCAAAACCTTAGAATAAAAAGGTTTTGTTGTATTTTTCGTGACCTTGCAACTAAAATGCCTCAACTTGCACTTACAAATAAATAAATTTTGGAAGACTGGAGATCAAAAGCGTGCCAGATAATGAGTTGCAGCTCTGTAATAGGCTGTGATATGTTCAGCAGTTGAGAGCAGGGGTGTGCTTCCAATCTCTTTCCATTTAAATGTTAATATGCTCACTTAGGGATTGAGCAATGAAATTAATGGTGCTTGGTTCATGTGGATTTGTGCTTTATAGCAGTGCTTTTAATATCTTCTTCCTGATCTCTGTGTGCTGCCTGGCCAGCTGGTGGCTTCCTCTTGCCTGGACAAAGATGGAGTTCTGCCTGCACAACAGTTCTGTCCTGGGATTTACCATTGATATTCATAAAACACCTGGAAACACAATAGCTCTGACAGCACATCCCTGTGTCCCAGTGGGCTGAAGTTCAGCAGTGGGGAGGAAAGGCTGCTGGGTCAGGGGTGACGTGGCATTTTTGTCGATGCTACAAACGTTTCATTGCTCAGGTGCTGATTTGGAAAGTGCTTTAAACACGTTGTGGTCTGACAGGGCACACTGAGGATTAGTTATGGTGTGAAAGCAGGTCCCACACAACTCAGAGAATAAATCCTGGTGCTGTTTTCAGTAGCAGTGAAGAGGTGAGGCATGTGATATGTTGCCTGTCTTGTTATTATACGCCCTTCCATCTTCTCCACCCGTTAAAGAATGACCTTCAAAATTTTTCCCAAATAAAAGCAGCAGTGAAAGTGATGGTGAGGTCATTTTGAGAGAAAAAAGAACAGGAATGGGTATGGAAAGAGCAGCCTAAAAATGTGGAATCGTTGCTAGAATATTTGAAAAGCTTTTCCTAAATTGTAAACCCCTGATATCTGTTGAGTTTTGCAGACAGGCATAAGAGAAGTTTAATGTAAAGCCATCCTGTTTGTTCTTCTGTTTTAGGTGTGCCTGTAGCTTGGGAGGCACTTAGGCTGTACAGTTTTAGTCTTCTAAAACTCTACCTAATTTGAGCTGTCCACTAATTTGTCAGAATTATGATGAGGTCTGGAAAAACTCTTCTAAGTTCTGGCTCTTAATCTCCACTCTAAGCCTTGTGTGAACCATAGACTCCCAGTGTGTTTGTACCCCACAAGCTCATGTGAAAAACATCCCTGATTTGAAAAGGGTACAAATCAGTATCGGGAGAGAGAAAGGGTAAAATTAAGGAAGGAGGGTAAGTCAGAATACCCATTGTAATATTTCTGGTAGAAAATACAATTCTAAGTCATTATTCATTCACTGCATGTGCGATACAAGCAAACCAGCAATAATTCTTATACTTAATTATTTTCACTCAGTGATCTCCTGTGTGGCCTGCAATATCCTACTTTGTTTTATTGTCTTTAATTAAACAACTGTGATTGTGCAATGAAATGATCTGAGGAGAACGTTTATAAAGGGACAAAGCAGTTTTCCTGAGAGTTATCTGAGGGCTGAACGTGTGTCTTTCCATCAGTGTGAACACCCTCTCTTTGCACTGGTCTTTGCATTTAAAGAGAAATAATGCAGAGCCTTGATAGCCTCTGAAAAGACAAATATAAGGTGTCCTCCTGTTTTTCCCTGTCCGATTTCAGTAACAGCAGGGGTTTTGTACTGAATTACTTGAAAAATTAACTTTTAAAAACAATTTGGGTGTCATTTATTTCCCTGTCTTCTGGAATGTAACTGTTGTCAGTTAAGAAGTCTGTTAGAAGAGACCATGTTTACCTTGTGGGGAACAGACAAGTCCTATTTTAAATGAATAAACACAGACAAGCACTTTCAAGTGCTGCATTTAAAAACAGCTAACTTCAGTGAAATTTAGCTATTGCTCCCTTAATTGTTTCTCTCTTTTCCCCAGAGGAAGAAAACATTCAATTCTTTCCTTTCACATTCTAAAACTTACATTTCTAAATCTTAAATCATGTCTTCCACTAAAACTATCAAAGTACCCATTGTTTTTTACTTCTAAAAAAGATTTGTTACTTGATTTACAATGTGAAATATCAGCATATATAATAAAAACAGTTATCCCTGTAGGAGGCAGTTCAAAGTAAAGCTGCAAGAACAATTTGCCAAGTTTCTTTTTAGAGCAATACTTTCATGTAACTATAAGAGTGGACTTTTTGTGTGAATGAAAAAAAAAACCTGCTGAGCCACTTCAAAGTCTTAGACTGAATGAACTCCTTAAACTCTTCAGGATGATTACAACCACATCCATGGGGGGAAGTGGACAGTGAGTAACTTAAGGCTGTACCTGGAGAGCACCCGTGGAAAAGAAGTCACCAACAAGTTATTTGATGAGATCCACTGGATAATTGTGCAGTCCCTGAAGGCTGTGGCGGTGAGTACTGTCCCTGGAACGCTGCCAGCTGCAGCATTAGGGCTGCAGGCTTCTCAGAGCCATCAAAGTGAGTTTGCCATCAAAATCCCTGCATGTGTCTGCTGCTGTTTGAGTGATGGTGTTGGTGCTGATTTCTGCAGTGCTGTCGTCTCTTGATTTCTCTGGAGAATCTTGGGTGGGTGAGCTATCTGCCTGTGTTTGAAGGAGTGGGTAAATCTCTTTCCTTGAGGGCTTTGTGAACTATTTAATATGACTTGATACTGCCCTTGTGAATAGGATTAAGTTCTGCCAAAATGTGTGATGTCATTGCAGCAATAACAAATGTGTCAAGGAAAAAAATACCTCTGGAGGACAATTCAGCAGAGAAAACCTCAGGCTATTAGTTCATCAGAGTTACATAACCTACTTTCACCTCTTTTATACACAAGTCACGTAGTTATAATGAACTTTTATTAGAAAAAAAAAAGATAGAAGAAACAATCAGTCCTCTGCTTGAGTGACTTTGTGGTGTTTGAGTAACATCCTGTGATAACTTCAGAGAGCAGGTATCGCTCTGTGGGTCACCTGGGGTAACTGAAGAGCCCAGTGGTGCCAAAGACTCTCCTGTTCCCTGTTCTCCTGTCTTGTCCTCTGTTTTGGGTTGGTCCTGGCACTGCTGTGAGCTGAGTCAGCTCTCTGACAAATTGCTCCCTTGCTTTATTGATGGGTCTAGTGTTCTGCCAGTGCAATGAGCTGAGTCATGGAAGGAGCAGAACACCAGACTCAGCACGAGGAGGAGGGACAAGGTCACACAGCAAGGAGCAGTGGGAGGTGGGGAAGCTCGGCTTAACCTGGCCTCTGCTGGGCAATCCTATTTGGAAACAGTTGGGAGAACAAAAGGGATTAAATCCAATGATTGCAGAACCTTAGAAGCGAAGAGAAGAAGTGCTGAGAATGACTGAGCATGAAATTTGTTGGTCCTCTGACTTTCTGACAGTGGCAAATGTAATGAGATGCTTGTTCCTCCTTCCCCCTTTCAGTCCCTGAAGAACTGAAAAGCTCTCTCTCATTATTAGTTTGGGGGAAGACATCTCCCTAACCTGTTACTAAGGTTTCTCTAAAAGATCTGATGAGATTTGCATAGAAGAAGAGTCTTACTGTGCCCACTGCAAATGTTGAGCAGATGCTGGAAAGCTCCTGATTCTCTAGAGGATCAGCCAAGCACGACTTGTTCCTTGGTCTCTCCTGGCTTTGGGGTTATAGTTGGCTTGAGCTAATTATAATTTACAAAAGGCATCTTGGAATTGCTTGACCTAAAGTCTCTTCATAGTTGCAGCAGCAGGATAAAAGAAATGTTTTTGAATGAGTCTTCTTTTCCTAAATTTTAAAGAATTTGTGAAGCTGTACATTTTCAAAGTTCCTGTTTTCTCCTGATGCGTGCAGGCTTTAAATGTTTTTGCAAAATATGAAAACACTTATTTTTGCAAAATATGAAAACACTTATTTTTACACTGGAAACATAATGGAAAGTTAATGTAACTTCATACTTGGCATCAGTGCAATCATTAGTATTGAAATATTTGCTTACAGCTTGGGGAAAAAGAAGGCAATCCTGAACTTACTAGTTGAGAGAAAAAAAGGGATTTAAACCAATGTTAGCAGAACCTTTAAAGAGAAGAGAAAAGAAAAAGTGTTGAGAATGATTAAGCATGTGATTTGCTGGTCGTCTGCCTTATATCAGCTTATATCAGAGTTACAGCACTGAAAACCATTGTAGAAGATTCACAATGTCATCACGTTGTAGCAAACAAAGTGTGTAATCAGGTTACTTACTGAATTGTTGATTTTAATGCATATTTTTGTCTTTTCCTTTTTTTTTTTAGCCTGTAATGAATAATGATAAACACTGCTTTGAGTGCTATGGGTATGATATTATCATTGATGACAAGCTGAAACCCTGGCTAATTGAGGTAAAGTTGCATGAAATACAGGAAAAAACTCCCTTCTCATTTCACAGGAGAAAAACTAAGTAGATTTCAATGTAGTCTTTCCTCTTTTTAAACAGTGTTTTTTGTTCTTTCATAAGTGGATTAAGAAAAATGATGGAAAGCAAAATGGGCCATGTGATGACCAAATTGGTGTTTCTATTTTTTAAATCCAGTGCATCCATACAGTTGGACTTCAGAATGTTAGCAGCCCTGTTAGATACTGTAGCTGTAAAATTGGCATTGGCATAACATCAAATGAAGTTTTTTTAACACTAAATTTAAGTTTCAGATGCTGTCAGTGTAGTGCTTCGAACAGAGAGCATGGATGTGTTTTTCAGCTCAAAATTTCACAGAATCACAGAATATTCTGAGTTGGAAGGGACCCACAAGGATCATCAAGTCCAACTCTTAAGTGAATGTCCCAGACAGGGATCAAACCCACAGCCTTGGCTTTATTAGCACCCTGCTGCAACCAACAGGGGAGAACTCAGATTAAGAACTTAAATAAAAGTTGTTAACCTAGAAGAGACCCCTGGATTTCTGTATGTAACAGTGAACTGGACAGATTTAAGTACTGAAATTTATGGGGTTTGTAACCATGTAAACTTAGTTTAAAAAAAAAAATCTACATCTTGTCTGATTCACCCTGGTGATCTCATCTGAATAAAAATCTCCAGGCTGACACTGCAGTGGTGTGGTACTTTCCTTTTTAAGTAAAAAGAGAAATTCCCAGTGGGGGGATTCCTTCCAGTGTCTGAGGAACTAAGATGTGCTTTGAGTCTTCCCCTGTAGAACACACAGTCATCACAGATGCACTTTGGAGAACTTTATACCACCCAAAAGATTGATGCTGGCTTTATTTTTGTCTTTTGTAGGTCAATGCTTCCCCTTCCCTCACTTCCAGCACTGCTAATGATCGGATCCTGAAGTATAATCTGATTAATGACACCCTCAACATTGCCGTGCCTAACGGGGAAATTCCTGACTGTAAATGGAATAAATCTCCACCAAAGGAGGTCCTTGGCAATTATGAAGTCTTGTAAGTTTTGTCAGTGTTTTATATTGTGGTTTTCTGTCACCTCACTCTTTTATTTATGTGTAATGTAGACCAAAGAGAGAAGGTGAACTTCCTTCTGGAGGGAAAAATAGGCATAAAGTACCACTTCATGTCTGTGGAGCTGCAACAGTGACATTGGAGGTGGAAGGAGTTGTCTCACCTCATGTCTAGAGAGAATGTTGTCTGATAAGCCCCTGATTGCACCTTCTGAGCTTCCAGCAGCCAAGATTTGAGGGACAGAGACAAAGGGAATGTTTGTCTTCTACATGTGTAGGACTGTAATTGTATTGAGGGTTAATAGATGGTAGTTAAATAGATACAATAGTTATTTGATGCAAATTTTGTCCCAGTTCACAGAAAGAGTGCTTCTTGACTCCTGTAATTCATGGATGTAACAATAAATAAAGTTGTCAGATGCTTTTTAAATTCCTCCATCTGTATTATAAGGAGAGAAATGAGTTACATACATGGTAGCAGTGAATACCCATAAAATAGTGTAACTAAGTATATATTTTGATTGTTCTACACAATGTTATAGTATTATCTTTTATTAATTACAATTACCTATCTATAGCTAAATTCTGCTTGGAATTTGCATAGCAGCTGAGAGGTCAGTATATACTGAGTTATATACTTAGGTAAGTATATAACTCAGTATACTTAGACAACTCAGTATACACTGAGTTATCTGAGGCCATAGATACTAAAGGGATATTATAAGATATTTAAAAGATATTTTATATAGATACATGAAAAGGTATTACACAGATATATTAAAAATTATATAGGTATATTAAAAATATTTTAGATGTTGTAAAGGCTTAGCTATTTTAAGAACTACTCATCACTGTGGTGAAGTGTTGCCAAATCCATGTCATGAAATGCATTTAATTTAATCACATGGTTGCTCAGTTCACCTCATTCTTTCCCTTCTCACTCTCTGATGCAACGGTGGAGTTTTTAACACTGCAGCTAAAAATCCTCCCTTTGAAGCAACAGCTTAAGACTTTATTTAACTGGCAGCAGCCTCGTGTTCTGCTTAACCACAGAGACCTGCAGAAATACATGGGAAATTTCACAAGCACAAAATTTCACAAGCTCAGGAGTTTTAACTAAAGCTGCCAGATGGTTTGTGTTTCTTTCAAAATGCAGCTCAAGGTATTTCAGATGATCTGTGTTGTAAAATCACATGTACTTCATAGAATCAAAGGTGCATGTCATATCATGCAGGCACAAAGCTGCGTGTGGGACAGCTTGTATTCACTTTCAGTGCTAGATATTAAGCAAAATAGAATATAAAAATAGAATATAGAGGACTTACTTTTGTTTGTGTAGCAGGAGCAGGCACTGAACTTGTCTCATTTCCAGATATGATGAAGAGATGGCACAGAGTGATGGGCCCGAGCGGGACCCGAGGGGTCGCTCTGGGCAGTCCACTGGAGCCAAAGGAAGTCGTGCAAGGGATTTAGGAAAGCCTGTCCTGACCACCTGGAAGTGATAACAGGAAAAACAGCTGCACTCCTGGTAGGAAGATATCACGAATAAAACAGCAGTTTTACAACAGGTTCCTGTGTTTTGCTGCACTGCGTGTAGGAAACACTAAAGGAGACAAAACAGCCTTTGAAAAGAAGTGAAACAAATATTCAAAAACCAGGAACTTTACTAGACATACACTGGCTTGATTATTATTACAACAATATATGTATAGTGTGTATGTATATATAATAATATTTATATAATTTGTATAAACTGATATTCTCTTGGTAATGATTAAGAACTTTCTATATAAAGATGACAACTCCAAATATGCATTCTGAAAGAAACTCCTTGCTGTGCTGGGTATTATTTATTTCCTCCAGCAGCCTATCCCTTGCTCCCTGTAATAAATGAGCTGTGGATTCTGTAAAAGGGTGAGAGAGGTAAGTGTTAACATTGTCATGATGGTGATTCAGATTCTTGTAGTAAAAGAAGAGCAAATAGGAAAAATTAGGAATACGTGCACTTGAGGCTAATGTCAGTTAATGCAGCTAATGATTTATGCCAGGATTAAGAAATTGGGAAAGAGCTCTTTATATGCTGAGGGTTGGGGGGTTTTATTTCCTTTAAGTGTTCTGAGCTTCTAATTCTTTGAAGGTAGAAAGCTTGGTGGACTGAGGGAGTGTTTCAATGGTATGTGGATGGTATATTGATTATTTCACTAGTCATTAATTTTTGTTTTGAGACTATGCACGTCTGTGGAAAAACAGACAGAACAACCACATAATGTGATAAATCTCATTGCTTGAAGGTGATGGAAAATCTTTATTTGCACCAGAACCCCTTAGTGTATTTATGCATGTATATAAGTCAAATATCTGTATATTTTTATATATTTTATGTGTGCTCTAACGAAAATACTGTTGCACATGGCGAGCTATTTCTGGTAGCTTTGATAACAACAGTTGTGATGATTAGCTACCAAAACATAGAGCAAAAGATAAAAATGGGTATTTCAGTACTTCTAACAGCAGAGCAGATAAATAAACTAGTTGGATCTGTGATTGCTGAGAGTTGTAAATGTCCATGGAACCATAAATTTGACCTCTCCCCAAACTCTTTAGTTTCTTGAGCACATAAAACAGACCTCTTTGCTTGCTTTTGAAGGTCCTCCTAGCAGAGGGCAGGAAACTGTGGTCTTTGGGACATTTGGTGCTGATGACTCTTCAGTCTGAACACAGGGCAGATGTGGGCTGGGCTCACCAGTAATACCCTTACACATAGGCTGGGATTCATCCTTGCAATGAAGAATGGAATATGGGGACTGAGTCACTCCAAGTGTAATCTTGGTCTTCATTGGTCTTGTATGTTCCATTACAATAAAGACCAAAATCCAGCTGATTCTGTGTTCATCAGACTCCAATCTCCTTACTGGCCTCTGCAAAAGCACATTCTAGTTGGCTCTTGAAATAAGGCTAAGAAAAGATGATCCCTGTAGGATAGTAAAGCTCATCTAAATTCCAGGTCTCACATATTTTAGGGGTTGGGATTTTCTGGTTTTGTTTGGGTTTTTTATTGGGTTTTTCTTGTTTTGTTTTGTTTTGGGTTTTTTTATTTGGTTGGTTGGTTGGTTGGTTTTTTTAGTTCCTAACTGTGAGTCCTGCTTGCATATTTGAACCTTGACAGGTAAGTAGATCAGCAGCAGCGTTGTTTTAATTACATATTTAGTGGGCAGATGTTTCCAATTTTACCCCCAACTGCCTGTCAGGGGTAAAGTGGGAAGTAGTGACAGCCTTAGGAAGTATGAGACTGTAGTAAATAGGATTTTATACTCAGAACATACCAACTGAGCTGCAGTGACTTTCAGTCTCACTTTTGGGAAGGCTTAAAGTGAAAGCAAAACTAGGATTTATTGCTGTAGAAGGCTTTGGAGACTTAATCCAGGGGATACTTTCAGATGTAATTTCACTGATGGTAATAATCTTGATCCTGATCTAAATAATCTTGTTCTTTCAAACTAGTTTGTCAGGTGGTTACTCTGTGTTGTGTTATTACAGTGAGTTCAGTCAGGGCCTCCAGAACACAGACACTGCCAAGACAGAATAGTAATGGCACTGCCTGTGATATTACTAATATGGAATATTCTTATTTAATTGTTCAGGGGGGTTCTAATGGCTTGGAAAGGGTGAACTCACTTTAGCTTGTACCCTCAGTATTTAGTATAATAAAGCCTCTCTTCCACTGATTTAACATGATGACAGTTTTTCAGAAGTCAGGGTTGGAATTCTTGGCATTGCTTTCAAAGAATAAAGATTTCTGTCCCAGTGTGTAGCAGATGTATTTCATTCAAATATAGTAGTTGCAGAGCAATATTTTATATGGAAAATATTTTTGTAGCAGAGCTGTCAGTTCTGAACACGCAAATCGTTCTCTCTGGCCACTGCAGTGTTGAGAAAGCATATTTCAAACTCTTGAGGATGAAATATCTCTCTAAAATAAGTAGTAAATTATCATTACTATCTCAAAATAAAAACATTAAAATATCACTAACTTGGGGGGAAAAAGGAAAAAACCCCAAAATGATATGAAACTTCGACTATGTAGTACCTAATCTCAGAGCCAGAATTTAGATTTTAAATGTTGATATCACATTTTACAGTTATATCTCCAACCAGCGTGTTACTACTAATTTATCTTGCTGGCCCAAACATGAATTTAGTAATGCAGCACTCCCTTCAAAGAGCACATGCAGTGACCTGATCTCTTCCTGATCTCATTCCACTTTCTTTTTAAAAGCAATAGGCCACTGATGATATAAATCAGGCTGCTTTCTCCCCACTTCCTTTTCCAACAGGCTTTTTGCAGAGGTTGAAGTTTGAAGGCCTGACTGTATTTTCAGTTCCAATACATGGAAAAACCTCTGTTTGCAATGGGAGTTTTAAGGAGCAAAACTGAAATAACACGAAATTCTAGAATACTAAGGTTGGATTTCTGATCAGAAATGCTTCCTTTTCTATGCAGAACTTGAGGCCTCATGTGAGTGAAATGTTCTTGAGAAACTCAAAATTAGGAAGCTGTGTTGCTACATAATGTCTGGGTTTGTTGTTTGTTTTTTTTTTTCTGTGTAAGACTTGTTGAAAAATACAGTGATTCACTGAAGGAATTTGAATAAGGAAATTTTTGAATGAGGAAAGTTTTTGATTAAGGAAATTTTTAAATAGGTAAATTTTTTTAAATAAGGAAATAATTGAATAGGGGAATAATTGAATAAGGAAAGGGTTTGTAGTAGCTGGAATGGGTGTTTGCTCTTGTGCTTGTCTGGAGATTCTGAAAAGGAGGATGACAAGGAAACAAAAGTAGTCTTAGTTAATAGGAGGAGGAGGAGGGTAGTATGTGATATCACCCTGTGAGATGCTGGTTTGTACCTGGTCTTGAAAGGTAAAGGTGAAAATCCAGTGAGGAAGAAGAGAAACTGGAAAGAAAACTTTTAATTGTTTACTGAGGGATAAATTCTTAAAATTTTTCACTCCTTGAAATAAATCTGCTGCTGTAATAGGACAGAACTAGTGGTACCAAGACTGGTAAGAGCCTGGGGGATGCTCTGCCATCAGCGGCGGCTGAGGGGATTGGGGAGACGTTTTTGAGACGGATTGACTGAAGGTGTGATGCTTACAAGTGTAATAAAAGCTGATAAACCTCGTGGGGATGCTCTCGTTCAAAGGTAAAGTAGCTCTTTTTGCCCAGTTCTCCAAAAGATTAAAGCCTGGTTTACCTCTGACTGAGAGGGCTTAAGTGGGTTTAAATCTGCAAGCAACAAGCTCTTAGTGCTGACTAACTCACTGTGGCCTTGGGCCAACTATCCAAATGTATCTGGCTGTGGGGCAAAGACGCTGGTTTGGCTTTCAGGGGAGCAAAATAAAACAGAAATAACAAAACTCATAAGTTCTGGCTTGGGCTGGTGCAATAACTTGCTGGGCAGAGCTAACATAAATGTGTGTCTGAGCCTTAAAATCCTGTTCCTGGTCTGCTCAAGTGATCGCTGGCATAAGGACAGCATTGTGTGCAAAGTTAAATAGACAAGCTCCGAACAGCTACAGGGAGTTGTGATAATGGCATCAGTGTAGAAGGAGCTCATTGCTGGGGTTGAATAGGGGGCTTTGCTTCCTGGGCACTAACCTTTCTCCCTATTAATTCTTTGACATGGAAGGAATGAATAAGATTCCCACAGAATGGCTTCTTTATGTGGCTTTAGGAACTTCATTAGTAGAAAAGAAACAGTGTTATCCCTAAAGCGACTTTGTTACTGTTGGCTTTACAATGGGACTTCTGCCTGAAATGTCCCTGTCTCCTGCTTCACTTCCTGCTGTAAACTCAGCAAAACAATGGACATTTCACAGAAGATGTATAGCCCTGCATTTCATCAGCAGGACGTGTCAGGCAGAGCTCATTTATCTGCAGGAGAGGAAGGGCTTCACCCTCTCACCGTAAGCTGGTGCCGTTTCTGAAGTAGTTTTAGAAAGAAAAGGAACGTGTATAGCCAAGAAAAGCTGTGCCTGTGGCCACAGTTTTGTTAAAAATTTGATTATTCAGAGGAAATAGGAACAGAAATGAGCATCTTGGAAAAACTGATTGTTTTTACTGAATGGCAGGAAGTTGCGTGTGCTGGACTGGATGTTTTTTCCACCTTTTTTAAGTTGCCATCAAAGCTCAGGCAAAGCTCTCCATAGAGAGCAGCCCATGGCCAGAACTCTCCCAGTTGGTGTAATGACATGGATACCTTTACCAGTGACAGAGAGTCATCTCTGCCTTAACTGTTCTCAAATTTTATGCCTATTAAAAGCACATTCACATCTGACATAATCATGCTGTGAAAGATAAAGTTTTGGAGAATATGAAACTCATTAAAAACAGTGATGTGAAAAATGAGGAGATAATAAAGAATATTTCAGACAGGAACATGTCTTGTCTTTGAAGGGTTCATTCTCAGTGAAAGTTGGGCAGTGAAACAGTGAAATTGCTTGATTTGAGTGCAATTAAATTTCATAATCTATAATTCTTTGTCATTGGCTGGCTTATATAGTCACTAATGGCATTACATTTCCAATCCAAACATGGTTCAGGATTTAAATTTACATTTAAAGTTGTAAATAAAGATGTATAACACCTGGACTTCCTCAGCAAGAGGGAAACATTTTGGAGAGAATGCTGAAATGTTATTGCAACAGTCAAGAAACACAAATAAAATTTGTTCTGGGTGAAGCCAAGAGACAGAATTTCCTTACAGAGAAAGTACTCATGCCTGAAAGGACACATGGAATTTCTGAGGACAGCAGAAGAAACAAGAAGCATATTTAAAAATAGATTGTGTTAAAAGTAAAAATAACCGTGGGATACTTATCTAAAATAAGAGAGGAATTTTTTTTTCCCCAGAAACTTCCTGTCCTGTTCCTAACAGTCTGAATCAAATGCCCACCAGAGCTGGAGTGACTGTCAGCTGTTCTTCTAAGAAAAAGATTGAGATAAGCTTTCTCAGGATGTCACATTTTTAATAGAACTGGAAGTGCATTTTAATATTCTGATTTAATATTTTAATTATTTAATGATGACATTTTAATGGTTTAATATTTTTAATATTGAGGGAAATATAAAAATACTAAAATCAAAGTGATTAATATGTTAAAGTGTGACTCACTCCATCAGAAAATTATTTATGGCATCATAATAGTGTCATCATGCTGGGAGCTTGCATCACTGATGATAGATATAACGAGACCACTAATCTCTTTTAATTCACTACAAGAAAAGCTGAAGTGTTTGAATATACATAAAGTTACTTTACATTTTATAAGTTGAAAGAAATAGGACTTTATTAAGCACTGAGGTATATTTCCCCAAGCAGGTTTTCCAGTGCATATATATATTTATTCAGTGCATGTAGCCTCAAGCAATGTATATATTTAGACATACATTAAACTGTGTTACTATAAGTAATGAAGTCAAATTACACCAACATGTGTAGTAACCTCAATGCAGCCAAATTCACAGGAGGAGCAGTAGTGTTGATCCAAAAAGTGCCCTAAGATGACTCTAAAAATTGTGTCAAATGGTACATTTGGAAAAGGAGCCAAAAACCCCTGACAGTTAAAAATGTGTTTTTAAAATTTTGATAGTGGTTATCATCTTGATTGGCTTCCAAAGGTGTCTGATCACTTTTCAGCTAAGTGTGAAAAAAAAAAAAGGATAGAAAAAATCTTGCAAGCAGAAAAGAATATTTTTTTTCCAATTAATAGTCCTGCCTTTACCTCTTTATCTTCAAAATTATAATTTCATAGCATTTATAAATATGTTTCATGGCAGTTGCTAATTGATTTATGAAGACGTTTAAGTGAAAAACTGGAAAATCATTATCTCATGTTGTATTAAAATCTGAATCCAGTTGTTAGTGTAAAAAATGTTGTGTGAATCCTTAATTTCTGATCATCCTCCATTCCTTTGGAAGGCAGTTCAAGTTCCATGCGAAGAAGACTCCCAAAATAACATGCTGTGACACAAGGGCTGAACTTACTGTACCTATATTTGTGTGTGTATATATATTACATACATTTATATTATATACATATATATTACACATATATATAACATATATATATATAAAGTATAGTAAGTATATATATGGAAACACAGCAAAATGTATGTAAATACAGTAATAAATTATATATTATTTATATGCACATATTATAATGTAACAGGTATAATTATACATTATATATGTATATATAGATATATCTGTATATAGATATATCTATATATATCTATATATATATATAAAATATCTATATAAAATGTGTGAGCAGCACACTGGGCCTAACAAAGTCGATGCTGGTTTAAGTCCTGTCCTCTGCCAAGCTGGAATTCCCTTTCCTGGGAGGATGAACTCAGTCCTAGCAGGGAGCGCTGTGATTTACACTGAATTCCTGTGCTGCTCCTTCGATCTTGGAACAAGTTGGAGCATTATTTGACCATACAAAGAGATGAATGACTGTTTTGATGTTGAGGAAAGTCTTTAAGTGTTCTGGCAGGGAGAATTCCCAGCTTTGACAATGCTCCAGGCAAAACGGAAGCGTGATTCCATACAGAAAGGGCTGGATTTACGACTGGATGTGTCCCTTGTCATCTCCTGTATAACACTGGGTTATGCAAAGCTTGATCTCACATTTCATAAGGCACTGTGAAAAAGTAAAGTGCAGCTGTGGTCAGGAGTGAAAGAAAAAACAGTAAATTTCCAAGTTTCTCTTCTCTAGCGTGAACTGTGGACTTTCAACACGG